CAAATGTATTTTAAATCCTCAAATGATTTTTGACAATCTTCAGTCCAAGTGAATTTTTGATCTTTTTGTAACAACTGATTCAATGAATGAGCAATTTTTGAAAAAATTTGAACAAATTTTCTGTAATAATTACACAAGCCAAGAAATTGTCGAACTTCTTGTTGTGTTTTTGGAGGTTTCATTTCCTGAACAGCTTTTGTTTTAGTATTATCGGCTTGAATTCCGTCCTTCGTAAATACATGACCTAAATAATTAACTTGTTTAGCGGCCAATTTACACTTACTTGGTTTAAGAGTTATTCCATCATTTTTAAGTTTTTGGAACACATTATGGAGATGCTGTAGATGTTCTTTGAAATTTTTGCTAAATATGATTATTTCATCTACATACACTAAGGCATATTTCCAGTACATTTCTGTATAAATGTCAGTCATGACCAGTTGAAATGGCATTGGAGCATTCCTGAATCAAAATGGCATCCGGTTCCACTCAAAAATACCGTCTTGTGTGATAAAAGCAGATTTATGCTGAGTACGCTTATCCATTCCAAACTGCCAGAATCCTGAAGCACAGTCTAAGACTGTAAAGATCTGAGCATGACTTTCTCCAACTGAATCAATCACATCTTCCAGACGAATTAATGGAAAAAAGGTTGGTTTGGTGATCTGATTCAATTTTCTGTAATCAACTGCAAATCTCCAGTCACATGTTTTCTTTTTGACAAGAGCGCGAGCGCCAGTCTGATGTGCTGTGTTGAATAATATTTCATCAACAAGTCCTTTTGTTATTTTGTGCGTTTCAGGATTTTGTCTGTAATGAGACATTCTGATTTATTATCACCAGTATCTATATAATGCTCATAGCGATTTGTAGTTCCTAATTCTTTAAGATTAGTAGCAAAAACACTACGGTGATTGTTTAGAAAGGTAATTAATTTATCTTTCTCCTCATTAGACAAATCTGAATCACTTAAATCAAAATCTAATTTGTTGTTATCATTTGTACTTGTCGATGTTGACATAATGTTAACATTATTTAACGAGGACTCATTATCATTTATATCAACAGTTTTAGTGTTATCATCAATCTTTTGTGCTGTTGCTAATATTGCCCTATTAGGTATTCTTATTTCAACATTTGTAGGGTTTAATAATTGATATATAGCTTTAATTTTTACTAATCGTTTTGCACCTAATAAGTTTAAATTCTTAAGAAATTTACTTGGTTCTAATAATGCCGTGATATCTTGTGGAGTTTTACTTATTCTAACAGGAATTTCAGCATGAGATTTTGCTTTTATTTTTATTGATTTTGTTGACCTAACAAAACCTATGTCTTGTGTTATTAACATGACTTCAGCTAATCTGTCTTGTAAATTAACTATTCCTTGTCCAATATCTATTTGTACATTATATTGTTTCATAAAATCTAAAGCTATTATTAATGGGTAATGTAAATAGGGAATAACATGAAATTAAATTGAAATGTAAGTCCTTGAATGTTTATTGGCAATGATACAGTTCCTAATATTTTATGATATTGAA